ACCAATCTATCTTTAAATGTATATGCCAAATATAGGAAACCCAGGAAAAAATTTCCCACCAACGTCTGGAAATTTGCTAAGGTAATGCTAAAGTGATTCAATCTCTCTTCCTTCTTGTCTACCCAGAGTGTGTCTTCGGTGTGGACGCTGTGATTTTATACGATGATTCTGGGAGCATTGTAGACAGTGACCTTCACATCATGAAGAACTTCTTCCTGAACCTGATGGACTCGGTGGCTGACGCAGATGTGCAGGTGAGAGCAAGATTTGAGAGCATGCGGGGCATGTGGGACTGATAATTTCAACCCCTTTATGGAATAACTACAGCTTGGCTTTCTGCATATTTTACTTTAGAGCTGCTCTATGCTACCCAACATTGGCTAGTTACCCAACCATGGCTCTTTCTGTGCATCTCTCTCTCTCTGTCTCTGTCTCTGTCTCTCTCTCTCTCTCTCTCTCTCTCTCTCTGTCTCTCTCTGTTTCTCTGTCTCTCTCTGTTTCTCTGTCTCTCTGTCTCTGTCTCTCTATGTTTCTCTGTCTCTCTCTCTGTCTCTCTCTTTGTGTGTCTCTGTCTGTCTGTCTGTCTGTCTCTCTCTCTCTCTCTCTCTGTTCTTCTATATTCCTCCCTCTATTTGGAGGATGGGGTTAGTCTGCAGAGGATGGGGCCAGCCTGTAGAGCAACTTTGATTCTTTGCTACTTATTATGGCTGTGGTTTTCCATCCTGACTTTTTACATTTGGCATCCTGGAGGTTCAACACATCTAGTGGGTTGAGAATAATTGACTATATGGATTTCCTATGTACAGGTAGTACTCGACTTGCAACAGTTCATTTAGTGACCATTTGCAGTTACCATGCCACTGAAAAAGTGACTTACGACCATTTTTCACACTTGTGACCATTGCAGCATCCCCATGGTCATGTGATTTACATTTGAACGTGTGACAACTGACTCACATTTATGACGGTTCCACTGCCCCAGGGTCACATGAGCCCCTTCTGATGAGCAAAATCAGTGGGGAAGCCAGATTCATTTAACAACTTGATTTAAGGACTGCAGTGATTAACAAATATAACAAGAAAAGTTGTAAAATGGGGCAAAACTTGCTTAACAAAATTCTCACTTAGCAACCTAAATTTTGGCCTCAGTTGTGGTTGTAAGTTGAGGACTACCTGTAGTAATATTTTTAAGAATTGAGGCTGCAGGAAGAAAGGTGAGGGGTCATTAAGAGAACATTACCAGAGTTTCCCCAACATCTATTGCTATGGATCTGTAGCTCCCATAATAAGTGCAGGAGAACCAAACATTGTACCCTGTTTTCCCCAAAACAAGACCTCCCCGGATAGTAAGCCCAATCGGGCTTTTGAGCTCATGCGCTAAAATAAGCACTCCCCCCCCAAAAAATAAACCCTCCCCGAAAATATTGCAACACAGCAGCAGCCATGAGGAGCCCATGCTCGTAGCCCCCTGCACCTCAAAAATAATAAGACCTCCGCAAAAATAAGACCAAGCGCTTATTTCGTGGGTCAAAACAAAATAAGACCCTCTCTTATTATCGGAGAAACACGGTATCAGGGAAGTTACTAAATATCAGGGAAGGTGCTATGTCAACATTAAACAAAAGGGGAACTTATTATATTTTGAGTTTTAGATACTAAGCCAGTTACTCAATAGTGGAAATTCTTCCTTGATTTGTCACTGGACTAAGGTCACTGATAAAATTTTAATGTGAAATTCACAGAAAGATAAATCAGATTTTTATTGGATTTCAAAGAATGAATATGTGATGCAAATAACAGTAGCTGTACTTCTGACAACTCTGAGAATAGATGGGGAATATGACTAAATTTTGTGATGTGTCTCCTTTTGGTGGTTAGCAAAAGCTCTTAGACTTACTGTATATTTCACTTCACAGGGCTTTACAGCCCTCTCTAAATGGTTTACAGAGTTAGCATATTGACCCCAACAACCTGGGTCCTTATTTTACTGACCTTGGAAGGATGGAAGGCTGAGCCAACCTTGAGCCTGGTGAGAACTGAAATGCCAAATCGCAGGCAGCCGGCCGGCAGCAGAAATAGCCTGCAGTACTGCATTCTGACTACTGTGTCACCGCAGCTCTTAGTTATCTACTATTCTTGTTTCTTTCCTGTCTATGTTCAAAATATTTATATATGCTGTGTAAATATGCATACAGTATGTGTGTGTATTATACACACGTACACACAAGTATCTTTTTTCTTTTTCTATCCCCAGTTTGCTGCAGTTCAGTACTCTTCCTTATACTCGGTTGTTTTTGATTTCGCAACCTATAACAACACTAGAGAAAAGATTAAAGATATTATCCACAACTTCAAACGTTTCAAGGGACAAACCTTCACTCCTTCAGCTATTGTCTATGTGGTGTGAGTACCAGAGAAGGGAAGGAAGGAGGGAGGGAGGGAAAAGCCTCCGATGTGCCTTATGGACCCACTCACTTGTGGTTCTCTTTACAGAGACAAAGTCTTCACAACAAATCGTGGCATGCGCCCTCACAGCAAGAAGCTGCTCATTGTCCTGACGGATGGCATCTCCAATGACAGAAGCACCACATTTGAACAGGCGACAGAAGCTGCCAACAAAAAAGGAATAACTCGCTATGCCATCGGGGTATGCAGGGAAATCGGGTGGAGCAGTGGTTCTAGATCAAGGTTTCTTAATCTTGACCATTTCCAGATGCATGGACTCCAACTCCCAGAATTCTCATCACTGGCCACGCTGGTTGTGGACTGCAGATCCCAGAATTCCTCAGCCAACATGGTCATTGAAGAATTTCCTGGTACTTGTAGTCACATGTTCGGAAGTTGCCAAGGTTGAAAATACTGCTCTAGGTGGACTTCAAACAAGGACATGTGGGAATTAGTAATGGCACCTCTAGTCACTGTCATCTTGTCACCATCTGATTTTATTAAACATGAAACTTTGAGCATTCCTTGTCTACCAAGAGAGGCTGGGCAGACCCCACTGGGCAAAAATCTAGACAACTTTAGGAGCTTCTTCAAAGGGTTCAAGACAATATTGAACAACCTGATGATTTTGCCATTGCTGGTTAAACATTTTAGAAGTTGAAGTCTGTCTAGAGAACATCAGGTTGGGGAAAGATGGTCTAAGAATTTTGGAAGCTGAAGAGCTTCTTTAAAGGACCGGATGTACTGGCTGGAGAATTCTGGGATTTGAAATCCATTCTTCTTAAAATTGCCAGGTTGGGAAACCCTGCTCTAGCAGGATTCAAAGTGCATAGAATAGGTAAAGTTATTTCAGTTTCCAAGGAACTAAATCGCACAAATAATCCTGAGTCAAAACCAAACAGTGTATTGGTATATCAAGATATGAATCCAGGTTCAAACGAAAACCGTATTTTTTAATATATTTCTGCCATAAACTAACATTTGTTATATGGCAGAAATATATATAAAAAAATACAGTTCAGGGCTATGTGTGGCCCAGAGGTGTGTTCCGGATCCCGTTCCAACTGGTACGGTTGGAATGGGCCTGGCGGCGTCCACATGGACACACACAGCACGCACGCACATGTGCAGCACGCACATTCGTCTTACCACCTTTGTGAGCCTCCGTGATGCTCCAGCTGCTCAACAGAGGGTCAGGCAGGCGCTATACGCACCGTGTGTGTGCGCGGAAGTGCCGAAGACTTAAAAGACTCCACGCGACCTATTAGATCTCATCGATTAGGCCTCCTCCGAGTTCCATCTGCCGGTCAATGCCGACTGGCAACTACGTGGAGGAGAGCCTTCTCGGTGGTAGCTCCGACCCTATGGAACGATCTCCCCATGGAGATTCGTACCCTCACCACCCTCCAGACCTTCCGCACAGCCCTCAGAATCTGGCTATCCCGTCAGGCCTGGGGCTAAGACTGTAACCCGCCCGAATAGTATGAATGTTGTGTTTTTAATTATGTATTGTCTTATATGTAAAAAGTCTGTTACCCCCCTTGCCTTTCGGATTGTGAGCCACCCTGAGTCCCCCCAGGGAAAAGGGCAGCATATAAATAAACCTCAAACTCAAACTTTGTAGGCATCTCAAACTCCGCATGCCCCATTTTTGGCAAAAAAAACGAGGCGTGCAGAGGGTTTGGGGGGCTCTACAGAGTGCAAAACCCTTTTTAAAAAAATTTACC